TGTGTGTGTGTGTGTGTGTGTGTGTACCGCGCGCACGAGCCACCGTGCTCCTACTCTCTCTCTCTCTCTCTCTCTCTCTCTCTCTGTACCGCGCACCAACTCGTGCGCCTACACTTCCATACAACGTAAGGAGAAGAAGAAGAAGAAAACGTACCTGTGGGGCGCTGGCGGGACGGGGGGCTGGCTTTGCTGCACGACGATGAGGACGACGACGACGATGACGAGGGCGACAGGCGACGACAGCGGGGGCGTTGGCTTCTTGACGGAACGGCTGGTGAGTTGGGGGGAGGCGGGAAGTCGAAGGCGGGAGGCCTCCTCCAAGTTTCAAAAAGGGAGGCTTTATCTGGGCCGCAGATCTTTCGAGATCAGCGGTCCAGAGAGGCAGCCCTTTTCGAAACTTGGAGGCTGCCCTACCGGACCCGTTTCAAATTTTCTTAGGGCCAGGAGGCCCCCACAACCCGCGTGGGGGCCTCCTGGCCCGAAAAAAAATTGCTTCGGCCTTATTTCGGCTATGCGCTATAGCCGCCCAGGGGCCAACCGACCCTGTGGACCCGGCCGGTCCCACCGGCCCGGTTCCGGTTGGGGGTGGACACCCCGGTGGGACCGGGCTTACAGCCCTGGGATGCAACTAATTTATCGAATAAGTCACCAATGCTGGTCTGACATTAAGTTAAGTGGGTGACCCTCGCTTTTAAGCCATAACATGCCCCACAAACTGGCCCAGCCACATTGTACTGTTTGCGAATGTTTGTGATGTTAAAGGACTGTGTGGCTTGTCCCAGGTGTTCTTCACAACGCGGTAGTTGGTGTCAAGCATCAACGACCCGCGTCGTTTGTGTTCTTGCGAGCGCCTCTACTATGTAACATTACCTTACATCAATTGGACAAATACATCAATTGGACAAATACATCTCTTCGACCCTAAAGGACCAAATACGACAAGCACGGAGTGGCAGACGCTTCGTGTCTGATCTATCGCCACGCTCGCAAGAGCACCAATGCGCGACATATAAATGTAATATTGATGCCACTTCGTGACAGAGCCGCCCCCCAGGTTGCGGGAAAAAGGGCTAAGATCCCTTGGACCCAAACTTTCTACATCTCAACTATGTGCAATCCGTAGATGACTTTGAGATAGGCATTACCGGCCCTGAGACTGACACAATTGAGATACATGATCTTTATCTCTACGTTTGTTATGTATGGTGTGAATTAATTGAAACAGAATAGAAATGGCGGCTGGCAAGCGTGTCCTCTAGACCTTGATTGACAGATCAGATGAAGGCCAAAAAAGGAGACCGTGTTTGGGTAGCACAGTCAAGCGGAAGCATTTATTGACGAGCCTGATAAGAAAGCGAGCTCTGTGCCCTGCAGCCCATCTCTGCTTGGCCTAGGCTCACCATCTACAGTTAATTATTTTTCGGATTACACAACTTCAAGCAAAATAAAGAAGCTATTAAAACCTGAGTGGGGATCCAGGCCGCCCGGGTGACCGGCAGGGGCCCGGGGGAGGTCCCGGGGGGCCTGGCCGGGCAAGGCACCCGGTTGGGGGCCGGGCCCCCCCAGCGCAGTCACCTGTCGGGGGATTTCGGACCCCCTTTCGGACCCCCTTTGTGTGTGTGTGTGTGTGTGTGTGTGTGTGTGTGTGTGTGAGAGAGAGAGAGAGAGAAAGAGAGAGAGAGAGA